GTTTTTGCCATTAAATGTCAATTGGAAAACCGAAAATGTGCCCTCGAGTGGCAGCGAGTTCCGGTTCTTTTGGATTCACGACGAAATCGCCAAACGTGAAAAACAAATTTTAGAAAAATATCGTCAAATCGAAACGAAGAAGTTCATAGAGATTTTATACGAATGGATGTGCTCAGTGTAAGTCATAGAAGCTAGGTTTACAAACCGTTTTGCTCTCCAACGCTCGGTTTCCGAGTAATATTATCAGTCTCGATACTTTTCGATTAGCCCTCGTATAATATACACGTACGACCATTGTGTTACACAAGTCCGGTAACATTTCGACAGAGCGTCTGCCGTCGCCGTTCGTTCCTCCGAACGCGTTCCCGAGCCTGCGTTCGCGTCGTCCGACTACATTAGGTAGGGAAATATTGTCACCGTGTGCGATATTGCGCGACCGTCGCGGATCGCCGGATCTCCTATAGCCGTCGTCCCGACCGCCGCAGTCTTCGGTCTTCACCGCCGCCGCCGGATTCTAGTCGACGACGAGCGGGACCAGTCGTCCGGTCGGACGGCGAACGGAAACGGGCACGGTAACATCGCACTGGTATGTCCGCGTGCGGTTGCGCAACCGGTCGTTGTGTTCGTGTCGCCGCCGTCCGCCCGCGAACGAGTGGCCGCCGGACGTGCGCGCCGCCGGTCCGACACCGGGACCGATGGCGGCGACGCCGCCGGCGCCGTTGCGACGCGGTCGTGCGCGTGTATATAGAAAAAAAAAAAAAAAAAAACCGAAAAAAAACCGCCGACCCGCTCGGGCGAAACCTAAAGAAAGCCGTCGGGAACGCGAGGTCGCGGGCGCGCGCGGCGGCCGCGTTATTACGTCGGATCCTCGCGGTTTCGTTACCGATCACGGCCGGACCACTCGGATCCGTTACGAAACACCGTCCGGCGCGCACATCGCCCGGCCCGAAACGCATTGTTATTGGCGCAGCGTATCGGCACGTGTATCGCGGTTGTACGGGGGTACGGGAGTTTTTTTAGTTTTTTTTTTTTTTTAAAAAAAAATCTTTAATTTCAAAAACACATTGTCACAACGCGTAACATTACTTTTAAAATCTCGTTGAAATCGCGTAATAAATGCGCCAACACAACGAACGCCGTTGCGTTCCAATAAAATCGTTCAACGAAAAAAGTAATACGCATTATAAAATTCGATAGCCGTTTGAAAATCATATAAATACCGGCGCGTAATGTTTGAATTTTCCGCTCGCGATAATGACGTCGTTCGACGTGAACGCGAAATGCGTATTGCGCGCGTAGATTCTGCATACCGGAGAAACCGTACCCGTTCCTCGGAAAAACACTTCTGTGGTTGGCGAAACAGCTCCAGTTACTGTTCGAGTCACGCCCGAAAATGACGCGCTTCTTTTGACCGATGGTATTTTATTTGAACAATTTTTCGTGTTTTTTTTCGCCTATGAACAATTTTTCTACAATAAATCTTGCTCCTAAGTATCGAATTCACCACCATTACCGAGGTCATTTTTTGAGTTTCTTGGGGGTTTTCAAAACAGTTGTTAAAAACCCGAAATAAAATTATAGGTAAAACGGCAAATGTCTGCGGCGCGCGGCGCGTCGTTATCGTTTTCATTGTTTTTAATTTTTTCTACGTGTCATCTACATAGGAAAATAACAAGAGATCGATTTCGTTCCTTTTAATGTATAACCACTGTCAAAGAAAGTCATTTTTTTTTTTTTTTATACCTTAACTAGTTTTCATAATAATTCGGGAGTACCAAAAAAGATAAAAAAAAAAAAAAGTACGACTTTTTTTAAAATTACGCAACAACGATTTCATTATTTAAGATGACATTTTGTATAGACATATGGTGTAAGTACCGATGATGTGTTTGTGGATATTTTCAACTTTCAGCCGTCCCACATACCATTTGCATACTCATATTTAGTGTTTTCACTTGAAATATATCCGAAAGAATAGAGATAGACGTGATTAATGAGTGTCTAATGAATACGAATCATAACTACACCAACGACTGCGAGTTAAATCAAATTAAGTGTATAATACACAATATTATTTACGCCGCGAGGAACTTTGCCATCCGTGACTATTTACGATCGATTATATAAAAAATAAACCCATAATAACGGCGACGAGTCGACCGGAGGAAAATTCGACTGTAGTGACGAAACTGTTGCCCACGGAAGGTTTTCGTCTGTAATCGTTTATCGTTGCGTACGGTATATTACAAACTAAATTACCCTGTACGTCCTATCTTCCCATCTATACCCGCTTACTTACAACAGCGGAAAAAGTATCCATTTATAATTACATTTCCACTTGTTAGTTGTTTGAATTATATCAGGATCTTAGTATATGTTACTCGCCGATTACGAATTTTTAAAATTAAATTTGTATTTGGAAATGATTTGACGCGGTGTAAAGTCTGAGTATTCGAAAATATCGGCTTTAACTACAGTTAAAAATTACAAAAATCAGAATTTGAATGCATACAAAATTGAACCAAAAAAAAAAAAAAAAAAAAAAAATGGCTTGATCAAGCTCAGTGAATCATTTTCTATATGCATTTGTTTTTAAAAACGAATTATTTACTATCCATAAAATTATATTTAAAGTGAAAAATAATTATTATACGATTATAATATTTTCAACATATTTTTAGGAAACATTTTGTCTCAATCGGGCGATATCAATGTTACAAAAACCAACGCGTAAACCTGTAATGCTGTGAAACGGTAATTTTGGAAAAAAAAAAAAAAAAATCCATTTTTAATAATATAAAAGTCGATAACGACGGCGAATGTTACGTATACCGTATCAAAGTGATGTTATATAACGGAGAGATTGATGTTTCTAGGTACAGAACTATTAGAATTTAATTATTTTTATAAGATATTACGTCTTAGGTATATTATAATCACATTTGTTTGTTAATATAAAACATATTAGGCTAAAATTAAATAATATAGTCGCGTCGTAATCCGTGTATCACCGGTCACTGGTCGGAGACAGCATAGTAAAAAAAAAAAAAAAAAAAAAAAATAATAATAATAATAATAATTGTAAAATCGATCAACTATAAAAAGTCACAATTTGAACACCCGTTCGAAACATTACCTATACCAGTTAACGAGTATGGAATTAGACATTTTTCAGCAAGGATGTTAGGCATACGGCATTTACGGCGGACTGTGTGTGGATAATTTTTTACGATGTTTTGATCAAAATGAAATCATTAAAATTCACTTTCGATAGAATATTTCAAAGTCGTCCGGTGTTATTGCCGTAACTTATGAAACTTCGGGCATGGATAAGCCTTTAAATCGTCAAAAAAGCACTTAAAAATATTTAGAAAAAAACAAAAGTGGTAGACGAATTTAAAAGTCTCACAGTTCTCACCCCGCACAAAGCACCACGTAAACCACGTACACATTTATTTGAAATAAACATTTTTTTTTTATTGTCAAACAATTATTTCTAATAAGTTAGAAACAGTAGAAAGGAAAATTGTTTAACTCCTCCATCTTTATTGCTCTTTTAAATATTTTTAAGTGATTTTTTAAATGCATATAAAATCGTGTCCTAGTAATAAGTATTTAGAATATTTATGTAATTATGACATTTTTACGGGAAACCCCTTTTTGCGAGGGACAATTATTTCATATGCTCTTTCCGTTGTTCATGTAACTCTTTAGCGGCGATTTTCAAACTTTGTTTGACCAAGGCACACTTCGCTTTTTCGCAACATTTTCGCGATACATGTGAACATTTTTTTTTTTCATCGTTTAATTGTTTGTACAAAATTAAAACTAATCACAGAATTGACGAGTCATAATCAAAAGAGTTACGACTTCATACTAGACGAACGTTTTACAATCTAAATAACCTGAGCTTTTAGAAAAGTTGCTACGCATAAAAATCGGAGCAAGTCTACTAGGAAAAAACGTGTCCGCAGACTATAACAACGAAAAAAGAAAAAGAAATAAACGGCATTGTAAAACCGACAGCTCTTACGCTACTCTCGGAATCTGAAGTATGGCGCGAGAAAAGCTGTACACCGTGCAAAACAGTACTTACGGGCGAAAAGGCCATAATATGCGTATGGAAAGGAAACAGAAGTATCGAGTAATCGTATTAGCGAAAGGCACAACCGAATCGTGTTTATTATTGAACTCTTTTTGATAGTTGATATTATAATTTTGATTATTAGATAATTTCTATAGAACGAATAGTTCTGTAGAAATTGACTAGAACATATCGCAGGGTTATGGGAAAAACTATTCGAATAGTTTTGCCTGTATTAAATTCTTAGGCCATGGAAAAAAAATATTCGAATGAAATATTCGATGGTTTGTCCAAACTGTCGAAAACTATCGCGATAGCATGAATTATTCAGAATACCTATCACTTATGATAATTATTGACACGGGTGTTTTTTTTTTTTTTTTTTTTAAAAAATTATCCATGTCTATACAAACATTTTTCCTTTAATTAAAATTATTTGTGCCTAGGTATATATTTGTTGACGGTGTACATCGGTATATACACTCAAGAAATTACTATTGGAATACAGAATCATAAATAATGCACGAAACAAAAATTAAACGATAAATCTGAGCAGGTATAGTTAAAAGGTAAAAATATCGAAGAAGAAATCATTAAATACCGTTAAAAACAAATTAATGATATTATTATAATATACTTCTTTACTATAAAAAATACGTGGTTGCATAACAAACGATTTAGCAAAATAAAAGAAATTGACGTTGCTTCCTTCGTGATGTGTATTTTTATTATGCCCTAGGGCAAAGATTGCATATTCTATATATGAAAAAAAAAAAAAATGATAATAATAAAAATACAATTTCCACTTGGAACAGGTTGCAATTTATTAATGTTTTGACAAAACTTTCATTATTAACAAACGACATTTTGAAAATGTCCCACCTAAAATGATATAAACGTAATATTTTTAACGTGACACACCGGTCCGACACGATAAACGTATTAGGTTTCGCGGTATGGTTTACATATTATCCAGTATTTATTGAAATAAACCATTTTCCCCTCACCACAGTCGCGATTATTGTTGTATTTTATATTTTCGTTCGACAAACGATTTTCGCCATACTTATCAAGTTTTATTTTTTATTATCGCTATTTTATGAAAAAGAAAAAAATGAAAAGGGTTTTCTATTATATGTAACGGATACACGTCTTACGATTTTGTTGTATTCCGGAACACACGAGTGCGACATCTAGCGAATATTAAACATACTATTTGTTTTCATAAACACGTATGCAATATATGTTGCCGGTGTTTTTACATTACGGCGCGACGTGAAATCGGTTTTAAAATAACAACTATATTATTTATTTGAAATACATGTATATTTCTGTTCGGTAAAAATATTCAAACAGGTAACAAAATCTATTATAATATTTACTCTAATATATATCTACTACGATTATAGTAGAAATGAAAAAAAAAAAAATATTATTAGCTAATACGAACTATATTATATGTACAGTAACGGTATCATTGGCGCGAATTAAAGAAAGCTGAGGGTTGGTTACCCCATTCAAAACTCGGCTGAGCTGTCTCCGAATCCGGTCTTCGTCGAGTAAATACTATGAGTACGCACAATCAACAATACGAGGGTCGAAGACTCTCTTCAAACAATATTCGAAGTATTTGCGCTAACGGTCGGTTTGCAGAACTGGCTTAATAGGTAAATGTACAGAAATTTACAAGGGAAACAGTACACGCGGATAAATATTATTTTTTATGGTAACCGTAGCTTTCGTCGCCACCGGACTGAACACTGCTATAATCGTCGTATCCACCGCCACCGCCGCCCTGTTCTTGATTATCGTGGTGGTGATCATGGTCTTCCACCCAAATCTTATTCCACACGGGCTTGTAAACCTTCTTCCAGACGGGTACCTGGACTTCTTCTGCGGTGCAAACGTTTTTCTCTTTCCATTCAGTTTTGTGCTCGAGTTTTTTCTCCGTTATCCATTCTTCTTTCTTCTCCACTTTCCATATCTGAACCTTTTCTTCTTTCCACTCCTGTCGCTTTTCTGTAATCCATTCCTGTTTCTTTTCCGTTTTCCAAACTTGTATTTTTTTTTCTACCCACAGCTGTTTCTTTTCGGTAACCCATTCTTGTTTCTTCTCGGTTTTCCACACTTTACTCCAAACCGGTTTCCATACGAGCATCTTCTTGCAAACGTCGTGTGCTACGTATTCCCATCCATGATGATCTTTTCCCAACTTTTTGGATCCGGGCAAGTATTCCTTGACCATTTCCGGAACGTACGTTTTTTTCCACTCGGGAACTTGGACCTCTTTCCATACAGCTATCTTCTTTTCTCCCCATACGGGTACTTGAACCACTTTCCAATCGGGCGTCTTAACCACCTTCCATATGGGCACCTTCACTTCTTTCCAAATCGGCGTGCGGACAATTTTCCAGTCTGGCACCTTAATTTCCTTCACGACGGGAAGTTTTATTTCTTTCCACACGGGTACTTTAACTTCCTCCAAAGCTTTTTTGCATACGTCTTGCTTAACGGTTTTCCATTCTTGTTTCAACTCCTCTTTCCAAGTTAGGTTGTTTTTCCAGTATCCATGCGATTCTTCTTGATAATGACTATCATAACCGACTACGTCAGAACCGTATCCGCTATCAGCACTAAAAAAAAAAAGAGTTTCTTTTTTTAAAATTTAATTCGAATTCATATAATATCGGTACAGATACAGGTTACCTATGTATGAATACTATGGAAAATTGTGCATTTGTTTACTATCGACTTACTTCTTTTTTTCACGTTTACTTTGAATTGGTTGTAATGGTTTCTCTGTAGATGTTGCAGTAGGTAAGCCGACTACAAGTGAAGATGTTGCGATTGTCACTATCAGCGATTTTATCAGCAACTGTAAAATAAATAACGTATTGAATATTGAACCATTGAATAATGGTTTTTAGTTTTTACTATGTCGAATCAATATTTGAGTCAAACCAATCATTTTTAAATGTTTTAATAATGGATTTATTCGAATTTTAATTTTTGGAAAACACATATATTCATTATAAAAAGAGTAACTCGAGTCAATACGACATGATGTTTAGATTCTGAATGGAGCGAAGAAGCTTATGGTTTATTTTGTTATTATTTTTTTCAATTTTCCCAGGAGTTTTCTCAACAAATGTGAAAAAATCGGAGGAAAAACGGGAAAATCTAAGTAATGGCGGTATTAGTTAAAAACTATGGCCCTTTTTTTTCCTGTGAACTACTTTTCTACAAATAATTTGGCTTTACAATGATAGCACTTTTCTGCGAGAAAATCTGACAGTGAAGGTACTTTTTGGAGGTCCTTTTTCATTTTTATGAGGAGTTTTCCCAGCAAAATCGAGAAATCAGGAAAAATATGGGAAAACCGGGATAAACGTAGAAAAAAAGGCAAAATCGGTACAACATTAAACACATATTATTAAAGAAAATATATAATGCTTATTTAATCATTTTACTATAATATGATACGTATATTGTTGAAAAAGCATAACTATCACGGGAACTCCGCTCAGAATCGTTTTTTCGTTAGTAATGGTTTATCTTTGCTTATACGGGTATACATTAAATTATCTATAACAGTGGATGCACGCGTCTCCATTATCCTAGGACAGCTTTTTATATTATCGATTTATAAACATTTTTAGATTTTGAGCGATATGTGTTGTTTTTTTTTTTTGCTTATAAATAACTTTTTTTACCAGAAGTTTTGCTACGAATTTCAAGTGTAGCATATTTTCTGTAAAACTTTTGTGTAATCAGTCCGTTTAGAAGTCGATTTTTTTTTTTATGATTTTCCTTGCAGTTTTCTGAATAATCGCGGAACAAATTAGGAAAACCGGCAAAGTTTACGGCAATAAATATGCCGTTATTTTTCGATTTTCTCGTAATCCGGTTAAAAATAATCTTGGACAACTTAAATGTTCATAGAGTACTTTTGTAAGCCTTTTCTATAAGCGGTAAAATGTTCAAAACACGCTTGAGATTTTTGATCTACTTATAGACCCATGACATTTCGATTGTAAAAATCACGCTACTTATAAATGCGTATTATTTAACCGAACATCGCTCGGCATAATCGTATTTCGCTGTAACAACAACTATTCAATATTGATTATTCGAACATTTATCGATCGAAATTAAAAACTAAATGTAAACGTTCTCGAAACGAAACGGAATTTTTTTTATTTAGACAACAACGTCTACATTTTCTACACCGTGCGAAACACGTCGCGTTTATATGCGGACGAATAATTTCACCGGCTTACCAAAGTATAACGGCTGCAATAAATCTCGCGAGGATTCAAACGACGGCGTTCGGTTTGTTTTGTTCCGCGCGTCCAGCGTTTTGAATCGACGGAACACAGTAACAATAACAACAACGCGTATACAATTTTTTTTTTTTTTCTCCATAAAGAATTACACCGTAAATCACGCGCGTGCGTACGTTAATACGACGACGGCGTGTACGTTGCGAAATCAAACGGAGTAATTAAAAAAATTATACCGGACGCGAGTGCCGGCACAACACTTTTCGGTACACAACAATCAATGTCGTTTTCTAACGTACCGTACTCGGCATTTCTATACGCGTACGCTACGGCGCGAACGTGAACGTGCGGCATACGGTTTTTTATTCCGGAGCGAATAACGCCACCGGGTTAACACAACGCAACGCGCACGGTAATCCGGAATACGCGATCGGCCGGGAAACGACGACGTTACGATAATATCGTATCGTATCGTCGTGTGTCCGTCGACGCACGCGTATTATTTCACCGCGTTACCGGTAACTGGGCTGCGGTACAAACGATCCGTCGTATTAAACGTGTCTAAAAAAAAAAAACAAATTTAGCCTTAAACGTGCAACGTGGGCGTGAAAACGGAGCATACGGTTTTCAAAGTTGGGCACGTTCTTCAGAACACATTTTTCGGATTGTTCGGGCCATTCTCATTTGAATACGATGCTTCCGTATCGAGAACGAAATGTGTTCGATAATATTAAAAAAAATAGCATAATTATGTAATAAACAAAAACTCAGTTGTAAACTGTGGTTAATAAGTAAACTGTATTCTTAAGTTTTATAAAAAATGTTATGCATTTAAATAGTTTAAGAGTTTTTAATGTTAATTTTTAATATTGTTAAATGTTATAATAATTCATTTATCTCACCACGAGCTTTGCTTAAAAGGGATAGATTCATTTTAGAGCATTATAGTTTGAATTTAAACGTAATGTCTGAAAATCTTTAATACATAAAACAAAAAGTCTATGGGAGGGAGAGGAGGGGAGGGTCTATATACTCTATTAGAGGAAACTATTTTTTTTTTTTTTTAAATACATATTAGTTATTCATTTTAATTTGATGTGCATTTTTTTCAGTATTAGTTAGTATCACTAATTATTCATTAGTGTTCCGTATAATATTCAAATATGTCGATATGTAGTACAAGTATACGAAGTATCAAAAATCAAAACATTAAAAAGGACCTAGGGGAATTTACGTAAATATCGATAAATGTTTCAATAATGGTACCATCATGCAAAAAATCCGAGCAACTGTAGTTATTTTTTTTTTTTTTTTGGTAATTGAAAATAATGAAGCTGTGAACTTTCCCGTTTTCACTGAGTTTTGTACAATTATTGAACGCTATACGGAAAATCAAAAAACGACTTTTCACTTGAACTTAAAAAAATTTTCTTTTTAGAAAACACGCTGTATGGTATATTTAAATTTTGGCTCAAAATTCCGGTAAAAAAAAACCAATCGAAATAATTAAAAATAATGATATCGCTACGCGCCGTAAATTATTTCGGGTTTCTATGCGGTTATTCCAAATTATCGTGAAAACCGCTGGGAAAATCAAAACATTATTTTCTTACTCATAAATTGAATAAAATTTTCATTCTGAAAACATAGTACTCTACGAATTCGGAGCGAGATTTCTGGTAGAAAATGTGTTTACACAGAAAAAAAAAAAATTAACCCACATCACACAGTAAAATCAACATAATTTCAACTCCGTTCCGAATCTTAAATAAAACACGCGCGCATCGTAGTAAGACCGGTACATTCCACGGAACGCTCACAATCTACGAATGTATAAAAGTGCCTAGGTAATATAATAACACTCGTAGACGCGTATAATATTACGAGCAAATAGAATACCGTGTGTTCAAATACGTACGATCGTGTTATGTCGGTATTGCGTGACTAGACAAACATTTTAGACGATTTTGGGACTACGCTTCCGATCCGATGAACGCTAACCGCGGATGTTTGAACTTCTCAAGAGCTCTTTATAACGTATAGGCACACGTATAGCGGGATTAAATTATTTGATCGTGGATGTATACCATAATAGGTATATTCGTTAAAATTACTTTTTCACGGGCAATCCAGAGACCTATCCTAAACCTTCTCATCGATTACGGTTTTTTTTTTTTTATCGATAACTGGTATTTCATCCTCGGTCCGCCGTCCGCGAGGTCGATTATCATTATTGATTCGAAAGCTATACTGCATTTTGTTCAACCACAACGAGTTGTTACGTATATCTACATATATATATATAGTCCAATGGCGTAAATTGGGGGTCGCGGGTGGTTGCGTTTGCGACTCCTGAAAATATCACGGGATCGCAAGAGCATCCTTTTTAAATAAATCAATGGAAAATACATTTTCAAATTTTTCTGCTCGGCCAAAACGATTTTATAAAACCAAAAAAAAAAAAAAACTTATCGGAATATTAAAAAAAAAAAAAAAAAAAAAACGATTATCGCAATAGACCAACGAGATCGGAAATGATACGAAAAAACTTTCTCGGTATTTTTTGGAAAAAAAATTAAAAATATTTTCCCGCCAATTCGTCGTCAAATTTAAAAAAAAGTCCGTATACTTACGGTTAGGAGGCTGTATGCTGTGCGCGGAGTTCCCCGCGAGTCGTAATGTCGCCCTACGAACAATTTGTTTGCGACCCCGGCGATTCGGCACAATGTTCACGCCACTGGTATATTTTTATACCGACATACGCGTACGCGAATAACGCTACAACACACAGACTCGGGGAATTCATGAGAAAATCAACGCAAGTTTTACTCCCGCTACATATGATCGTCGGTTTCGCTATAAAATCATTATGCGTAATGTCACGGTGATGTATTGCGATATACTTAATAAATGACGACATTTTCCGGACAAACATTGTAATGAGCGGCCGCGGACAACCCGTCGGCAGTTTCGCGGTGCAACAGTTACCGTATTTAATGTCGTGTTATTATTGTAACCCGAGGAACCGCAAGCATCGCGAAGAATTATTATACCTATACCTGCATATATATGTATATTACGTGCATACCATATAACACGTGCACTGTAAAAACGCGGAATAGGTATACGGCCGAGAACAGGAAGTTAAAAAATATAGGTAGTCGTGCACAGAGGTATTGCAGACACGCGTGACTGTCGGCCATAATAACATCGTACCTGTTCCACGCGCACAATAAACCGAGAACGGAAAAGCTTTGTCGTGCCCTTTATACAGGTATAACAGATACGCCCGCCTATAACCACACCGAGAGTCGGGTAAGACGGCACACGGGATACGGACGAATCGCGAGGAATCCGAACGGTTCGTAAATGTAAAAAGAAAAATATTATTAGGTAGGTATTGTTATAAAATTACGATCATCGCGCAAATTATCTGCAAACGGCCGGCGGTCGAGGTGTGATTAACGCGAGTCGGAATTAAAAAGTGAGAGAAAAAAAAAGAAAAGAATGAAAGAAACGTTTTATTTACGGCGGTGTGCGCATTTCGAAAACAATTCGGTTACTGTACGCCGATACGACGCGCAATAACAATAGATTCTATTTTATAAGCCTGATTATTTTACCTATAGCCCCAGCGATATATACGTGTATTTTAAATGTCAATTTGTCCACCTTCGCGTCCCTTCATCGATTATCGCGGTGTTGCATATTTACGGACGATAATAAATTATACATTTTTTATACGGAGAAAACGCGTAAGATCATTAACACGCGTCTTGTGGCAGGCTAAAAAAACACATTACTGATCTTGGGGTTTATTCGTTTAATATTGTTATCAATAGGTAATTATCGTAAGTAAAGGTTTACGGTACGAAAAGTAAGAAAAATAATTTCGTGTTTGTAAATGTTCAACGTTGAAATATTCGAATCGGGCGCGTGTACAAGGGGGTGGGTGTTAGGGGTTCAATTTTCATGAGAATTATAATGAAAGTAGATTCTCATAAGCGGTTTCTGTCAACGAGGAAAATAAATACAATTTTGGTTTTATTTTATTTTATTACAAGATAGTTGGAATATATTGTTATTATTGTAATTTTTAATTGTTTGTGGTTTTTTTCCTGCTTTTATAAAATTATAACTGATACGGCGATATTGCATAGTCCACATTATTATCACAATAATATAAATAACGTTATCATTTAGATATTATTCACTTAAAAAAATATATTAAATGTAAAATTTAGTAATAGGTACCTCAAACATTAAAAATGAATGTTATACAATATTGACATTTTTAATGAAAAATAAATAACCCTACAATCGGAAGTATGTAAACTTCTTTGTTATAAGAGTATGAACAACCGTCACCCCTCTCCCCTCCCGAAATAATCGTACATAGGTATAATATTAAATAAATATTACATGTAATTATTTTACCATGATATGACAAACACGTATTGTTGACAAATCAATACTATCAATCGAACTCCGCTCAGAATCGTTTTTCATCAGTAATGATTCATCACTTACATTACTCTGTGTATAGCCACATTCTAACTGATATCCTAGAGATATTTTAGATATTTTTATGTATTCGTTTTATAATAATGTTTTTTTTTTTTTTTCTGTATACAACTTTTCTACCAGCAATTTTTCAATGATAGCACTTTTTCTGAAAATAAATCTGACTGGCGTGGTACTTGAAGTAGGCCATTTTTTGATGTTGCCCAATTGTTTTCCCATTAAATGGAAAAACCGGGGAAAACGTGGGAAAACCGAGAGAACGGGAAATTAGTTACAATATTAAAGAAATATTATTAGAGTAAATGTTTAACGCATAATATGTAATTATTTTATAAAAATATGACAAATATACTGTTGTCAGATCAGCACTATCAAACGAACTCGGCTCAGAATCGTTTTTCGGTAGCCATGGTTAATCGTTGCTTACAGTTACTATACGCTAAGTTTCCTCTTAAACCTTCCAAACTTCTCACCTACAACATGTCCCACACACGTGCGAAGTATGTTCGTATTTTTCATTATTGTATTTACTTTTTTCGTTTATATATTTTAACGTCCACACATTTCAAACTAAAAACAGCTGAACACATTCAATGATAAATAATGTAGGTAAATACAGATCTGTACTCTTGGCGATTATGTCCATAGGCCTATACGATCTATAGACGGAACATTTGTTCCGAGGATTTGGTCGATCCAAACGGATCAAGACAGATAGGCTGTTAATATGGAGCCTATAGTGTGAGAGAGAGCAAATATTTTGCATTCTGTAGACAACCAATTAAAATACTCCGTTTTGTTATCTCACGTGCGTCCGTCTTCAAAAGAAAACATCCACCGGAACGCGTTTTCATATGTCCGTCGGTACCTTCCGAATCTAAAAAAAATGATTTCCAATCGATAATAGGGATTTCGTTGTCTGAAATCCGGCATACGGATTTATGTCACTATTACGACGATGTTGTATTATTTATTTTGTATTCGACGAATGAATTCATTTCACAAATAAATGTTTTCTCGACGCGTAAATCGTAAATCGGTTAGCTGTCCCAATGAAATCCATCGCGGAAATACTTTTTGTTTTTTTTTTTTTTTCGTACAGTACAGAACAAATGTGAAACGACATCACGTTCAACTTTCATCGTTTACACGTTGGTTTGTTGCTTTCGTCATCGGTCGACGGAGTCTAATATCATTTGTACAATATAATAATATAATGTGTAGTATAGATTATATTATACTAATGCGAACCGTGTCGTGGTCATCGTCATTGCGTTGTAAACGACGAATACGCTAACGATTGTTCGTGGAACGAAAAAAAAAATTACTTTCTTGTCGGATTTCCACGTCTGCGGGGCGGTGTAAAACGTATTCCGGACGCTATACTGCAATGGTTCCCAACTTCTTTTGGCTCATTAAAAATCTTCGGAAATTCGCAACTGCTCCCCGTCGCCTGTATCCAAACACAAGGCCGCTCGTGATCTTTACACCGATAACCTTTATCAATATGATTGATTTATTTATTTTTTTTTATTTTTTTTCCTCCCAATACAAATTTTACTTCGTCACGACTGCTTGCGCCTCCCTAAAAAAAAACGACGGGGAATTTTTTTTCATTTTCCTTTCCCGGTCCGTACTGATTCCTTTCACGACACGTGTTTATACCGGCGGGGTGTGCAGACCATCGTCACAAACGCATTCCGTAGGCGAGATACCTGATTTCTTATCACGCGCGACGCACATTCGGATCGAGTCGGTTTTGTTCGACAGGGCGAATAACCCTCGCGCTTTCACCGCGTCTTTGATGTACACGGGTATAATATGGGCGCCCGACTTGCCCGCGCGCCTAATGACGCGAAACCGCGAAACAAACGCGTACACAGGCGCACACGGGTACACGTTTTCGTTTGTTGTTTTATTGTTCGTTAATCGCGAGCGTTTTTTCTTTTTTTTTTCATTCTTTCCCATTGCCGCCGGTCGATACTTTTTTTCCCCGCCGTTTTGTTTTGTTTTTTTTTCTAAACGACTCTCGTAATATCAGTATTACGAGCACATAATACCAAATAATATAATATCAGCGTTTGTGGGTATTAGCTTAATAGCGGAATCGCGGACCGTCCGAACAACACGACAATAGACACGTATAGTACAACGGTAGTCGGCGATCGCGTAATAACGGGAGCCGACTTATCGTATTGTATTACATTATTTCGGCGGCTCTTAACGGCATTGCATTATAAACTTGCGCGTTGTACGGGCGTTACAATAATACATATGTAAAAGCGACAAAAAAAAAAACATAATTACAATAATAAAATATCCGTTTCCGGTGTCGGTGTTTGCGGATAGCTAATTATCCGCGCGCGTTGTGTTCGATACCAACAACACGTTACGTGTTAGCGGGGATCGCCTTTGAAATTTCCTCAGATTTTCAAAAAAATTTAAAAATTACTTTTCAACGTTTCGATTGTCGCCTTAAAGACAGTGTTTGCCTAGCGACCGGCTACCCGATACCCGGGGAGAAGAGACGGGGCGGCCGTTTTTACCGACGAAAACGATATCGCGGAAATAGTGATCACTGTGCGACTCGTTGCCGATTCAATACTTTCATAAGCATTTTTTTTTTATCAATAATGGTAAAAAAAAGACTGACATCCTTTGCACGTGAGTGGGCCACTGTTGTAGGTGAGGAGTTGGAAAGGTAATAGATGGGAGATTTAATGTATATCTTTACGTAACGATTAACCGTTGCTAACGAAAAACGATTCCGAGCGAAGTCCGGTTGATAGTGTTGCTTTGTCAACAATATATCTGTATGACATATTATAGTAAAATAATTACATAGGTATACTTTTAAATATATATTTTTTAATAATATTTGTTTAATTTTGCACCTATTTTTTCCGTTTTTTCCCGTTTATCGGGAAAACTCCTGGGAAAATCAAAAAAATGACCCCTCTAAAGTAGTCAGATTTCCTTTTAGAAAAGGTACTATTATTTTAAATCGGAGCTAACTTGCTGATTTAGAAGTTGTCCGCAGAAAAATAAAACAAACATCATTGTAAAATCAATACATTCTTCACTCCGCTCAAAAAATCTAAAAAAGCTTAACATTTTCTTTTCTTAACGACTGGATAAATATCGATTTTAAAATATCGGAAAACGGAATTCAATGCGGTCCGTGCAATGTTTCTCGTTATAAATTTAAAAAAAAAATAATAATAATTTAATTCGGTCGATTCTGCTGAACAGTATCACTATTTCTGTTTAGTGCGTGTTTGCTGTGAGCAAAACGACATTGGCACCGGGCACCAAGTGCTCCAAGTATTTAAAAAATACGCGGTTTACTCGAAATTAATTTTCAAAGAATGTCAGTTTTTCAATAATGCTATTTTAAATAGTTATTTTGAATTATATTATTATAAATAAGAAAATACGTTTACAAAAACAACGTTAGATATGCGAATAAATATTATTCAAATGTGTCCGCGAGACATTACGTAGGCGTACCTATATATTATTAACGACCGCTCTAACCTATTCGACCGCATGTTTCTTATTAAGTTTACAACAAAACACAAATTTCATAAATTACGAATTAGTATTGGATGATAATTTAAAAGCTCGGTCAAAAAAAAAAGAAAAATTCTATGTGTTACCTATATCAAAAGTTTTTTGGGATTTTTTTTTTTTATAAATACAATACCTATAGTATTGAAAACATTAGAAAGTTTCAACTTAACGAAATACATTTTATATAAACATTAATTTTTTTTTTTTTAAAACATGATCTAAACAAGTGGTTTTTTATGACGAAATGTTTTAACGTCTCAACCCTAACGAAAATACATAATATATGAATTATTTACCTTCATTAGTATTAGTACTACGAATCTCGTATTTATTAATGTCTCTTTCGATTTGTTTTAGGGTTTTCTTATTTTCCGTTTTACTTATCTATATTCACACATCCCCGGACAGTGTTTTAGTTTTTCTGTCAGACATATTAGACAATTATGTTCAACGCGTTTTGTGCAAATATAATAAAATGTATCTATTTAAGATAAATAAATGCCGAGGGCAATACACTTGTGAATAGCGTGTACACCATATTCAAAATAAAAAACCGTGGTTTTACCAACTATCACCAAAGATTTTCCGTAAGATTACCAACCACGTGTACATTGATTTCCGTTAGCGATTTACCCACTGAACAAAACGTATACAAATTAACGTTTCCATACTTTTAATCGTCATAAAATAATGTCATACATCATAAACCACATTTAATCTTGATTGAATTTTTTTGTTTATTAGCTTGCCTTCGATCAATAATTGTTATACGAGTAATTGACCTAAGATTAATTTGCCTGAGATTTCGTTTATAATGTCGCCCTAAATTTTCGGCCGACTTGGTTTTTCGAACATTTTTTTCAGTTTTCTTTTATAGTTTGTCATCGAAGTACCATTTTAAAACGTTGCCGAGCAATATATTCCGCTTGGATTATATTCGGCCAAAGAAACAATATACAGATGACAATACGGACGATTATATATCTTAACGGAAAATTAAATACGAGTTGACACTACGTTCTATATGCATTATTATAAGAAAAGTAGGCTGTGCACTTGCATTACGTTGGAGAACATCACAATATACTTATTATGTAAATAATGATACTTGTAATGTTAAGTAAATAAATTATGAAATTCAGTGTTTCGATGGATATGCCGGGAGCGTGTGCTAAACAAAAAAAAAATATCTCCCTAGATGGCGACCGTGATCGCGACCTCTCCAATGCACCAACTTTGGTTTCAGAACATATGTTACACTTGAAAATCGGAGTAAGATTTCTGGTAGAAAAGATGTTCGCGGACACAAAAAAAAAAAAAGGCTGCGCTCGGAATTTAAAAATGAAAAATACGACAATTGGTTTGATCCGGTTTGAAACGAAAATTAAAAAAAAATTACTGACGAATGAATTCACAGTTATTTACAATAAAGTTTTACCCGTTTTTTTTTTTTTTTTAGTAATACAATTTTTACTCTTATTACTTTTATTAATTCGTTTAGTTTTCCGGTTGCATTGCATATTATTTTGAAACGCGTGTTTCATTTCTATACACCAGCTGTTATCAAACGGTAATTCGACTTCTGGTCATTATGGCCGTCTATCTAAGTTAAATATAATTACACCAATCGATTTCCGTAAGTCGACCAAAATACCAAATCACTACTGTCCGTATACATTCATTGGAAATCTCATAATAAATATCATATTGTAGTAGGTACTTTTACTGTGTATTTATTGTTCGGCTGTATTGAATCAATCATACTTTGAAACGCACATATACTAGTGTCTGTATAATATAAGTATAGTGATGAAATATCACAGTCGCGACGGTTTGTAAAAGAACGAATGTTACGTGTGTCGTATAATAAATAATAATACGAACCACTAAACAAATAGGTATTGAAAATAGAGTCTGCAATAGTATAATATATTGTTGTGTCAGAATCATCATCAATAATTTTTTAGTTCGGTTTTCTATAATATATTATTTATATTATAACGCGTTACAATATCAATTGCGATATTATAATCAAACGATTTATTAATCGGTGAATTAAAACACTTTCAAAATAATAACAATAATAATAGTAGATATTTAACTAATTAAAATACTACATTTATTTAATCGAACAATAAAATTAATTAAATTTTATAGGTCCGTTCTGCCCAGAGGGTCATCACAGTTCCCAATCAATCCTCCAGTCGTCTCTATCCTTCGCCAATATTTTCCATTTAATTGCCCCGTCTTCTAAAAAACTTCTATCGTTCCTGACCACGTCATATCCCCGTCTTATTCTCCTAACGGCGTTATACCTATCGGTTCCACTAGTAGCGGGAACCCACCTTTATGCTACGAGTTGTTATCCATGTGTTGTTTACTTCCGTTTCTATATGAGTATATTGTCAGTTGAATTTTTAGATCTATGAAGCTATAAGTTTTACTAAGATATACATGTTTTTTTTTTCTAGAGACTATTTTGATTGAAAAATAAAGTCTCCGAATTTTACATTTCACGAGTACCTTAAAAGATGCGGACTTTTATGTTGTAATTTATCGAAATTTTTGACGGTTAACCCCTTTGGTATTTTTTTAAAATTTTGTCGATTTATTTAACACACTATGTTTAAAAGTAAAAACAAATCGAATACTACACAGCATAGAATCCAATATATGTATCTAAACAATTTCAAAAATGTTTGCAATTGTTGTACGTGCATGTGAATAAATTTAACTATTATTAATTTGTTTTGATAATTCAATAATATTATATTTTTTTCTTAGTAACCGATATGTTTTAGTAAATAAAAACAAGTTAGGAAACTTAACTCTGCGAGCATGCAATTTTCTCGGTTTTTAAACGTATTTTAAACAATAGACTATAATCTTCTATATTAGTATATAAAAATGAATGTATGTCTATATGTCTTTTATTCATTATTACGCCGTTCACCGGGTCTCCATAAAACTTTAGAAAATTGTTCCACGTTGTCCGGAGAAGGTTTATAGGTATTGAAATTCGCCCCTTATTGAATACCATTCCCTAAAATTCGGTTTTAATATACAAATCTAATTATATTTGTTGATTTATGGATTACCTCGATAACTCGGATGAATAAAAACTGTTGTTATTAATATTTGTAGCGCAATCTCTGTGCTATACGGGTATCTATGGTCATAGCATGCAATGATATGCGATGATATCTATAAACTTTGTTTAGAAAATTTTTTATTATACGGGTAAAACCGGGCGAGACAGCTTGTTCCGTACAAAATTTTGTAAATTTTGTAACCTAGTACATTATGCTTGTTTTTGGACACATAAATAAGAGAGACAATTTTTGAAATTAAAGTTGAAAATATTTACTCAATAAATATTATTAAAAATAATAAAATGATAAAGTAAAATAAAATTATTAAATGGTTAATACTCGTAAATAAATAAATGCGTCGCCTGAAGTATTATGATATATATATTGTACGACCGGTTTTGAATTAAAAATTCATCATCAGGTAAAATCGTAAAGTTAAAAAGTAAGACGCGATTTTAAAAATAATATCTTATATCAATACATTATAGATAATAAACAATAACCGAGAAATTTATATTTCTTAACAAATCTATGTCTAATAATAACTCATTTTAAATAATCTCTTCTATTAAAATAAATTATTTCTGTGTAAAACGACCAATTTGTATAATTTTTTCTCTTTGTATTTCTTCATTTATTTTTTCATATTCAGTCGCGTTTTACTTTTTGACTTTGAGACTTTACCTGTATCATAATACTCCAGACCACGTATTCATTTATTTATTTATTTAATTATTTTTGTATGTGAATATTATTAGCTTGGGCACCCATGAGATTTTAGCAAAATAAAGTAAAATCAGGTATCTTACCGAATGTATCCTAGGAGATTATAAAAAAACACTACCCGAATTCGTTAAATAGCTTTTCGACCGAATCGTCAGTACTAACCACCCTGCCATGAATAAATTAAAAATGGCTCAAATGTTTTAGATGACAAATAAACGTCTTAAAATCTACTAGTACGTTCAGTAGGTAAATCACTATTGAATATTATGCACACTAGATTCTAGAATACTACGATTCTCTTAACGATTACCAAGGTTTCCTATAAAATTACCAAAGATTTTCTGTATGATTACCTAACTTTTGTACAGTGATTTTCGTTAGGTTATGTTCAAAATCATTCAAAAATTAAAACAAAAAAACGCCCATCTCATTTCCTCGTTTTTCATGTATATTTCCTTCTACAGTAATTGCCTATTCTATTAAAATTAATTTAATCTCTCTTTACTAATATTTTGAATATTTTTTATGTATTCTCTATGTTAAGCCTCGTTTTATTTCTTCACCTTTGTTGTAATACTATTGCTGATTTTTAAATTCGAAAATCAAAAATTATTATATTTCAAGTCAGCCTGAATTTTAGATTCTGAGCGGATTGAAGAATGTAAATTTTTTAAAATGATTTTTATTTATTTTTTTCTCGGTGAACAACTTTTTGACCATACATTTTGCTCCGATTTTCAAGTGTAATACTTTTCCGAAAAAAAATTTGACTGAGATTATTTTTTGATTTTCTCTGGGTTTTTTATAATAAATATGAAAAATTGAGGAAAAACATAGGAAAAACGGGAAAATTTACGAAATTTATTATTTTCAAATCGTAAATATTACGGCCTTTCAAAACACGTATAACCGAACTCTGTTGAGAATCGTTTTTCATTAGAAATGGTTAATCTTTGCGTACAGATAAACATTAAATTTCACCTCTACCTTCCTAATTCCTCACCTACAACATTACCCCACCCATCATGCGAAGTATATCCGTTTGTTTTTTCTACGTATTATATTATTTTATTGTTATATTTTTATTAATAAGTTAAAACTTAAAATTAACCCCGAAAACAATCGCGGTTTTCATTTATGTTGTTTAAGGAAAATCCAATAGACTCGACGTTGACGTTATTAATTTAAAATAAAAAGTAACTATTTATTTCATCGCGGAAAAAAAATGTCTAAAAGAATTAGATTACATTAAAGTTATACTACCTATATTATTTAAAATTGTTTAACATTGTGCTTACCATATTTGTGTTTTAGCAGTGGCCGCGACGGTGAGACATACACGGTTAAAAAAATAAATCCGCACGAAAAAAATGTATAGTTGTTAAGGTATACACACACCGAAACAATAATATGGGTTATGATTTAGACACGTTGACCGACGACCACGATTGGCAGTGGTGAGCCCAAAATTGCGTTACGCACTGTACAGAATTTGCTGTAAGCGTTTGCTTTTTATATACGATTATACGCGTTCAGTGGGGGCCTATTGCGTGTAGGTACTTACATTTTGGCCCATACTTATTAAATAGATCATTCGGAGACATCGGCGAAAGGTCTTCCTCCCGGACCGCATAATAATAATATTATCATGTCATCGTCCAACGCCACCGCTACTACCGTGCAGTTCGACGGGGCCTGACAATCGCGGCCGAGCGCCACTGTGCCGTAACCTCGCGACTACAATCTCAGGCCGAGTTCATGTAATTGTGACGGACCCTATACCGCCGTTTCTCAATCCGTGGGTCGCGACTAATACCGGTTGGGCGGCTCAAATATTTTAAAAATTGAAAAAAAATAAAATAAATATTTCAATAATTAAACAAATCGTAAAAACGAGAAAAATACGAAAGGCCTATACGAAAAAAAAAGATATCTAAAAACGTAATCCTGATTTTCGTCCGATAACGCGACAACACGAAATATAATTCCATTACGTACATAATATAGATGAATACGAATGTATGACATTTAAATATAATCAAAGCAAAATTTAATTAAACTATTACAATATCGATACTCGGAGTCCACACCTCGAGTAGCAATACCGTTAAAATTTTATATTAAAAAAAGTCCCCCTATAAATCTTGAGTAACATTCATAAAAGTTCGAAACCCATCCGAATGTGTATGTATTATATCGTCAAAGTGAGGGTTTTTCCGAAGCGTAGCGAAAAAAGGCATACGAGCTTATTGTAGTTTTACTAATATGAATATTCCTTAGCAGAAAACACTTTTCCTGTTGGTCAAAACGTTTTTAGTTTTTTTCACATGGCGCGTTAAAAAATGCGGAATTTCCGGTCTGTGGTATTAACGTGTAAACGAATTAGTAAATGAAATACCCGATTATAAGTGAGCAAACGCGTAGTGGGTGAATACCGGATGAATATACTAACTAAATTTTTCCAAAGATTTAAGCGGTTACGGATTTCGGATTTTTGGCGCCACCACCGTGGATTCAATTAGACAACCAACAATAGGCAGTAAGTCATTGCGAAATTCAAATACTATCTAAATTTGATTTAAAACGAAGAACGCGCGTTCAATCGTATGTACACGTACACCAGTCCGTCTACACAATAGTCACTATAGCGTGGTACCTATTTCGCTGTGTAGCACAATAATATGGTTACGAAAATATTTTATATTTATTTTTTACCTTTACGCTATAATAATAATGTACAGTCTATATTTTATAGATTAGATACGTGATCTCTTTGAACTCGATTGGTATCCGGCGGCGTTTCCAGAGTAACATAAAATATTACCTAATTTACGATCATTTTTGTGGAGTCAAAAGAATTTTATTCTCATTATACAAATGGACAATGTACGAATGTACAGTAATAATAGTAGTATAGTAGTGCTCAAATTTCCGTGGCTTATACAAATTTGATTGTTAGTTGAAACTTAAGAGGATTGTAAAAAAAAAAAAAAAATCCAGACTAGAAATTTTCTTTTTTAGATTCGAAATGAAAAATCCTTTTATTGATTTATTGATTTTACTATGATGCGTTTTTTTTTTTTTTTAAATTTTTTTTTTTGTGTTTGTGAGCAACTTTTCAAACAAAAAACATACTCTGATATATTATCAAGTGTAGCAACTTTTTCAAATGGTAATTTCATCTAGTTGGTGCATGGAAGAGATCATTTTTAGATTTTTCAAGGAGTTTTTAAAATAATTGGCAAATCCAAAAACAAAACTTTAGGTAAAAATTTGCCTGTGTAAGCGAATATGTATGGCTCACCGCGGATTTGCCGTTATCATTTTAATTTGTTCCACCTATATTTTCTACCGGATATGTTGTTCCAATGGAAAAACAACAAGAAAAATTTTTGTTGCATTTTTAATCTAGTTGGTAAGTAAGAAAATCGTTTTTTAATTTTTCCCAAAGTTATTTTAATTATTCTGAAAAACCGGGAAAAAACGTAGGAAAAACGGGATAATTTACGAAAATAGTGTTTTTATACAAAAAGTCGAGTTTAATGTAGTTTCTATTTTTTATAAGAATTTTAATATCAAATTTTTTGACGAAAATCGTAAATACACGGCCTCGCGAAACGTGTATAACCGAACATCGTTCCGCGAACAATGATTTTTCGTTGTTTACATATGTAAGTTACATTACCGTTTTTTTATGTATCCTATGCCTTCCCAACTTTCCACCTACAACAGTGGCACTCCCGTCTCCAGTATCAGCTTCTTTTTTTGTATATTGTCGTAAGAACATATTTCGTTTAATTATTACGAGTACCCTCGTGTCGAATTTCCGTGTCTTTGTGACGGGCATGCATTTGTTTAAGCACCATAGATCCGATCGACAGTATAATAATATAACATTGTTTCATTTACATTATACGCGTACGTAACGCACGTACGGTGTAAAAACGTATTATTCGCTACTGCGTACGTGCGCTCTGCAGGGTGGCGCTATTACGATTTCGAACCGAGATTAGATAACCGGACTTACAATGATGGTAGCGTCCATTGTTGCGGAATTATAGTAGTTACTTTCAATTAATATGTGTAGGAATAGTTGTGGTCAATAAATGGGTTTTGTCAATAGCACGCCGCGTTAATAATATTGAGTACGACTTTGCGCACTCGTGTTCGCGTAAAATCAGAAACGCGTGTGTAAAATAAAACACAGTACACATAGGCGCCAGGTTTTTAAAATGTCACTCGCAATTTTAGATAATCATGTAAAGAGTGGTACCCGGACTCACGCCTTACGTTTTTCATAGCCTCGGTCAGCCAATCGTATGGGGTACCGAAACCCCGTAACCAACTAACACCCCCCCCCACCTCTCCTACACGGCGTTTCTGGATCCGCACACGCCCGTATTATACGTATACACACACTGCAGGACAATCTCTACGAAACGGAAAATACTTAGCAATAACGATGCTATACTTATCGGCGAAAGATCAATTTTGCATTTTTCATTAGGTTACGCGCTATTGAACAATTACGACGATCTCGATTTCGACTTTTCTCGCGTACGTAATGTATTAATCGTATTATTACTTATGTAAGGTTTATGCGTGAAGGTCGTTTATTTAACATCCTTAATTTTAAACGATTTTTTTTTTTTTTTATACAATTTGTTTCGTTTAATGCTGTCGAGTTTTATAATAATCATAGCGCGTATACAAATTGTGTAGTACTCTATTTCAATATAGCGAGATAAAAATTATAACTTATTGTGTTCGTGATTTTTTTAATTTATTCACAAATTCATAATAATACACCTACCCATATTATATTATTATGTATACTATAATGTTTTTTCAAGTACAACCAAATACTCATTCCGAATTTACCGGTAAACACAAATTTTAGTGAACATTTTATACTATTAAAATATATTTTATCAACGCGTTTTATCTGTACGGGTGTAAAAGAAGTTTGTCAATAAAAACGTTGAAAAATCGATCGTAAAAACTAAGAGATTCCGTATTAGGTGTACTTTAATAGCTGGTATTTTTAAAACGATTTCATTATGCAAGATCAATATTAGAATATATCAAATCGTTTTTTTTTTCCAAATACTTTGCCTTTCTGTAAACACGATAAGATTGGACGGATGATAAAATTATAATAATAATGTATTTATTCACGCCGTTTGAACGGCAACACGCGACATGTTAAAATTTTAGTTGAATTATGCAATCTAATAGAATTTGTCGGTGACACGGAGAAATTTTACTTTTTAATTCCAACGTAGGAATAGTGTTATTTTTTACCTTTTTTTTTTTATCAGTTAAAAAACTTTTATTTTATTTTTTTCTGAATGTCCTAAAACAATGCTTTTCAAGCACAAATTCGTATAATACACCAAAGAATTAAAATATGAAACTTTTATTTTGCATTTTTAGAACTTTTTTATTTTTAGAGTACACTTTGACATTTTAAGTGCGTTTCTAGGTTTTTAAGGTATTTATTTTTTCCTTTTTTTGCAAACTTCATAGTGTTATTAGAAAATTTGATAAAGTTGATTTTGATTTCCTTCTAAAAGAAAAAAAAAATCATATTTCTATTTTTAAAATGTATTATAGAATTACTGATTGTACCTTCCAAATAAATCCGATGCCGGCTGCATTAAAGAAAACGATACGTTTTTTATCGAGTTGTAGTGTAGTTATATTGTACTATTTGCACTCTTGTGCAAATAGTACATTGTGCATACTGTGGATCGTAGTACGGTGCAAAGATGGCATCAGCGATTCCGTGATGGTCGTATAAGTATTGATAACAACCCTCGCTCTGGCCGACCCTCTACGGTTACTCAAGACAACACTAACGCGGCTATTCTCGCAACTCTACTCGATGAAGACCGAAGAATAACGGTGAGAGAGATAGAGAATGAAACAGGTATTTAAAAATTGTGACCAGAAATCCGTAAAAAGCGACCAGGAATGTTACAAAATGGTGTATCCATATTGCACGATAATGCGCGGNGTCCTCCGGACTTTGATTTATTTCCTAAACTGAAGAAACCACTTAGAGGGATCCGTTTTCCCAACTTAGATATACTAAATGAAGAAGTGAGCCGAAGGATCCGTGAACTCAACAAAGATGGCGTCCTATGCGGCATTCAAGCGCTCCCGGAACGATGGCAATCGTGTATAGACAAGCAGGGAGATTATATCGAAGGTCTATAATATTGTATTTAGTTTAAAATAAAAACTTATTTATTCAGAGCAAATTGTGCATTACTTTTCGGACAACCCTCGTATGTAACTATCTGACCAAAATATGACATATTTATTGTTGATAAATCTACACTATCAAACGAATTCCACTCAGAATCGTTATTTCGTTCGCAATAGTCAATCATTGCTCATAGATATAGGTACATTCAATTCCCATCCGTATCCTATATACTTGCCTAATTTCTCGCCTACAACAGTGGTTGCATCTGTCCCCATAATCCTAGGACAGCTATATTTTTTTTTATTTAAATTCATTAAATTGCATTTTCTTGTCTTTCAGAGCATTTAAATCAGCACACTAGTCATAATTGATCATTAAACGTTTCGTAAATGTATAACAATACGAGAAACGAACCAATTAACCGACTTGTTATAACGGTCGCAGGGGCGGTAGATTTCGAAACGGCGCCACAGCTTCGTAATAACCCGTACAATCTTCGCGCGTATTTTTCGCGCGATCTGTGGGCGTGTGCGGCCAGTTAACCTAGACCCGGTAAGCGGTCGCCTACCACACTGCTGTGTAGGTTTGTGGTCACTGGTCACTGGCGGCCGATCGATTTGCGCGCGCACAACGCAACGCACAATATTATTTTACGTGACAATCTTACCGATACGATGTTATTTAACGCCCCACGCCCGTCTTATTATAATGTGGTTCACGGCAAATTTCGTCGTCAATAATTTCGATTTAAAATTTTTTTTTTTATTTTCCCTTTACAAACAAATTTCAGTTACGAATATACGTAATTTAATATACGTAAATCACCTATATTTGTATTTTCGACTGGCGTGGGACGCGAGGTCAATAATTATTATACGTGTACGATGACGATGATGACGGTTACGTTATCGTATTATTCTCGATTTGTATTATCAAGTAGGACGAAATTCTACATACGTTTAAATCGGTTTTGGAAAACATCACTTTGTCTATCGTCATTCACCGTTAACGTTACAATAATCATTGTAATGACGAAATAAATCTGATAATTTTCGTGTTATGGCCACCCAATTTTCGATCGATTTAGTGACTCGCTCGTGAACAAATCACTAAATATGTATAACACACATTTATATTATATAAGGTATCCCACGAAGATTCGACAAATACAATTACTTTTATTCTGTTCGATATTTTTAAATTAAATTTTTTTTTTTTTTGTAATAATAATTACTATTATTATTACTATTTACTATGATTTCTCTATTTTATATTTTGTAAGGTGATCCGTTCAGCTGGTGATCGGTGAGTTAAGCGTTAAGGCCAAAGTGAAAGACTGTTTTGAGGTTATTTGAGGAAATGTGAGAGCATGCGGAGTATACGGTGAAATGGCGATGAATTGGGGGAGATGTGGAAGGCGAGAACGAGCGTATATAGTTGATCCCACACTTGCCGAGGAAGGTGGGGGGGGGGAGATTATGGCGAAGAGGAAGAATAAGAAGTGTTTTCGTCCGATTTCCCTGTCTACATATTATTATTATAACGTTAACGTTATTTTAAAAGTGCTTTTCCTTTCCATTATTATTTAACTACTCGACATAACTGATGATATTCTATATAACATCACCGTAATATATGATTTAACGATCGTCATTAGTTGTGAAATACACCGTGATTAAAGATGGTAAATAGCGTATACGATAGGTATTACCTACGTGATGTGCAGGTCGAGTACTTCAACCCCTGTGTTTTATTACGATTGTCTACTTTTTTTTCGTCTTCTGAACCGACGAGTTCGTATTTTTTTTACGATTCGGTATGCATATTATATTACACACATGCAGTATATATATATAGGTATATACTTAGGGACCGATCAACATAAACTAATGACCATTTAAAAAAAAAAAAAATACATATATACAATGAAAAATACCATAAACTCGAGCCTATTATTATTTTTAACGCACCGTTTTTTATAAAATAAAAAAAAAATTACGTTCTTTTATCTATATAATAACATCTACTGACTACCATTTATTTATTATTCTTAATATTATATGATAAACTATTCACGAGTTTATACGACATCCGTGCAGTGTTCCATAATAAGTGTAAAATATTTCGAAATCGTTTTTACATTTGATAAATTAACGAATATACAAAATCAAACCATACAGAAATATACATCGTAGGTACAGTGAACAATTTCGGTTTGCTAATACCAATGTGGTACATTGCAAGGGCGTCCATATGCGGAAGGGGAGATGTGGGAGATTGCCCCCCCCCCCTTCTAGAGAAGTGGACTAACATTGGCATTTGGCCATTTATACCAGTGTGGTATACAGCAGGGGCGTCCAAAATCAATATATTATTTGATATAATTTTTTAGATTTTAAATGTAGCGAAAAATATATTGGGTTTTGCAAAGATGTTTATTTATTACTAATTTTTTTTTTTTTTTAAACTGTGACAAAAATATCTACAATAAATTTTGCTCCGATATGTACGTGTGGTACCATTACTGAAAGGAAATATTGTCTAGATCAGTGGTTCTCAACTTGGGGGGCGCGCCCCCCTAGGGAGATGTGACAAAATTTTAAGGTGGGGAGCGTGAAAATGTTGAAAAAAAAACACGAAAAATGAAAACGTTACCGTTTTCTACGCTGTGCCTTGCCGGTTGGTCGCCGCCGCGGTCGATCAGTAGATATACACCGAGCGATTATTACGATTATAAAAAATTGTAAAAATCATATTTTTATGCTCTTTAGTCTTCTGGGTGTTAATAAAATCACTGTTTTGACGAAAAACCGCAGCCCGACGCGATAAGAACATGTTTTGGTGACCCGTAAATAAATATTACGATTACACCAATAATCTTGTACAACATATGATATATTTGCTATAATTTTGTATTGTTACCTAATTACTTAGTTGGTACCTAGTTGTGTCGTAGCTTTCGTGCCGTACTTGTTTCAGTTTTTAATTTCGATTTTAATATTATTACTGGTGGCGATTTGATATAATATCATAACTAAAAATGTCAAAATCAAAAAAAAAGATTCTATAGTGACGATAATATTAAATACGGATTTACTGTAATTGCATACAAATTGTTTCAATATAATATTTATTTCACTATAATATGACATATATATTGTTGAAAAAGCAATACCATTAACTGAGCTCCACTCAGAATCGTTTTTCGTCAGCAATGATTAATCTTTGTCTACAGATATACATACAATTTCCCTCTATATCCTACCATTCCAACTTTGCATCTAAAACATTGGCCACCCATCGTGCGAAGTATGTTCTTCTTTTTTCCTTATCAATCATTAATATTTTTAATTTAATTATTTCGCCCCCCCCCTTATCAAAATCTGGAAACGCCCCCAGTATACTGTAATAAAAATGTTGCTTTCCTAGAGATTTCGAATAAACAGACCGTTCAGGATCTGATTATACTTGCAACACATTGTTCATAATATTATGTACTAACAACAATATCGTTCTATTATTTCGCGTTTGTCCGCGTGTGAAATTTATTATTTTCGTTACGCCATTAATACACGTGTTTCGAGCTTATAATATTTGTCTATGCGATGGCCAAAGTGATTTATTAGTGTGCTATTAGTGAATAGAAACGGACAATTTTTTTCTCTTTAATTGTAAATTAAAAAAAAAAAAAAAAAACAACTAACTCGAGCGAGAGGAAAAAATTTAAGATTGCACTAAAATAACAGTAAACCATTGTACCTACGTACTGTCTAACATCGTACCACTGCCGTAATAATATAATAGCAATAAATTGTACTTCGGAGAGGTGATGCAGACATTATTATAAACCGCAATTTAATGCACCTGCAATGTTTTTGAATTATAATTCTTCTTTTTTTGTTTTTAACCATTCGTTTTAACTAATTTTCAATTCTACTGCGATATTGACTGAATGGTTTAGATTATCATTGCGTCCGCTTAAAAACTGGACAGTTTTAAAGGGAATAGGGGGACTTAAATCGAAAACAAATACTTTACACAAAAGACAGAAAAACCTTTATTGTTTGGCTCTTATTCCCTTTCTCATTTTGACTCGATATCTTATATAATAATAATAAGGATGAAATAATACGCCTCTTATCATGAAAAAAAAAACGAAAATCCAAATATGCCTTATTTTCGACGCGCGTTCCGCGTAATATTTTTATAACAAACTTACATCAGTAAATTACAGTGTAGGTATACCTACCATTTAACGCGCGGTATGAATTTTCACGCAGAATATTAACGTATCGACCGAAAATATCCAAAATGGACTTGTACATCAATTCTCGTGAAAACCGTGTAATATTTTTCGTCAGGATTAACATGTAGTTTAGCGGCGAACAAGTGGCGAAAACGGCGCGTAATCATTACCGAATCAATTATTATATTCTCGCGCCAAAATCCGTTTGGTTTACTCCGTGTAACGTAATATAATATAATATAAGACGAAATATTGTTCGAATATAAATCATAAAACAGAAAAAAAAAAAAACAATAATAGGAACGTTTAAAAAATATTCGAATTTCCATTGACGGCTGACGGATAGCGACGGCGTACACGTTAATGACTCGCGCGCCGCCTCCCGCTGTTTCCACTTGTACCGACGTAGTCCGATAATTGTATTAGGATAGGTTAGTCAAAACCGATAACGATATAATAAATATACATACTTTCAAGTGTTAACTGTATTGCTATTGACTTGAACTTTTTTTTTTCACGCTACTATTATGTGCGTAAGTACCTACGCTCATTATGTTTAACTTCAGATTGACTTTGTAAACATTTGTATGACTTTGTAAATTTTCGTAAACATATTTCAATGCTACGCGATCGGTTTAATTTAATGTAATCGACTCGAATTGATTTTATTCAAAACTGGGCAAGTCACTTAACTGATTTAAGATAAGCCGTCATCATAGGCGTGCGCGCGAGGCGAGCCGGGCGAGCACCGGCTCGACCGGA